GAGCAGATCACATGTGTGTTAATGATACTGCTACTTCACCCATCTATACTTGCCACGTGTACTTCAATTGCTGCTTGTTAATTCGTACCATCTGCCTGCCTTCTGGCATGTAAATTAGGTCAGCAGGCGGATTTGAGCCCGGAACTTCCGGGAGCAGAAATCAGGCCTTATGTATGCTATTGTTCTAGCTACTTCACCCATTAATACCTGCCACGTGCTGCTTCATGTTAGATCGTACCATCGGCCTGCCCTCTGGCACGTGTTTCCCTTTCCTTTCCCTGTAGTATCTGTCGTGCAGTACGGCACACACCATCTAATACACATACAAGCAAAATGCTAGCATATCGAGAGGCCGTTTCCGCGCCCAGTTACCCCACTACCTGCACATTCCCTTGAGCACATTCCCTGAAAACATCAAAAGTTACATGCCAGCAAATGCATGTGTGTTCGCGGTTAACTTCCCCTCCTTCGCCGTAAACACACCGGTACGGCACATCTACTGTGCATGCTTTATCATGGTTCGTGATGGCGCATTTGCGAAGGTGTGAGCACGTACATCGACCATCCCCGGCTCACACATGGCGCCTTCCCGGTCGACACAGACGTCAGGTGGATCTCGTCACTGCCCACAGCCTTCGTGCCGTTCGGTCAACGGGTCATTGCGTCCGCCTGGCAGTCAACCACCTTCTACAGGACCTTCTGGCTGTCAGCGGAGCAGCTACAGCAGCAGCAGGCTGCCCTTGGAGGTGTTGTGACAACGCCCGTCCTCAACCTCACCATCATTGCGGACGACCTTGCGACTGCGTTCGTGAATGGTCAAGAAGTCGGCCGTACAGCCATGTTTCCAGAACGTTCTGTCCTGCAAGTCTCAAATCTGCAGCCTGGCCCCAATCTGGTTGTGTTGCACTGCAACAGCACGGGGGGACTGCCCGTGGTGGCGGCCTCCCTGGCCTTTGGGGGCCCTGACGGCTCCGTGCTACTGCAGACGGATCACACTTGGAACTGGCTGTAGCGTTCAAAGGCGCATGTACGTGTCAAAGTACGTGTGTACGACTGTGACTGCAGGGTGGGTTGGCTTTCATAATCGTGCTTGATGAACACCTGTGTGCATTTTCCTACATATGTTTCGGGGCACCCTAATGCAATCATCCCATGCAGCCGTCTCGTTGAGTTGGATGTGTGTCTGACTAATCGAGTTTAGCGGCCATTACCAGTATCTTGTTGAACTTGCTGCTCGTGCTCCTTTCTAGGCATGGCCTGGCATATGCCGGATGCATCCGCACTGCTCTACGGCTGACTCCTATCCTTAGTTCCGTCAGTAAAAAGATGTAATCACCTATAGGCTACACGCGACATCCTCGCTGTAATAGATAGGGACCGTTCCTAACCTTCCACTACACGAGGACGCGTGACGCCATCAGGTGATCAGGAATTTGACTGACGTCATCACCCTTTGGATTCGTTTGTCGCTCAAAAGATCAAAGGAAATCTCGTGAAATCACTTCGATGCTTGGGCAACCAGCAGACTGCTCACTGCAGTAAGCTGTTCGAGGCAAGCAAGCTGCGCTGTTCCTGCTTCACGCATGACTCTGATGCTACCCAAGTAGGTATGACACCACTTTTGCTGTTTAAAAAGTGTAGTTACTTTGTTACCGAGTTTGACGACAGCAGCAGGCGTTCGAGGGTAATATCTGTAGTAGCTGCAGTAGCTATAGCTGGCCGCTGAAAAGGCCTCCCGAGATGCAGGTGAAGCGCTTCGCGCGTACTTGTAGTTGATAATGTGCCGTACTGTGTACCATGGTAGCTGGCCAGCTACTACAACAATGGCCATTTCCATTCATTCATTCATTTTCCCCTTCCATAAACGCTATACACCTAACATATATATGTAAGTATGCAACATAATCCCTGCCAGCAGCTGCTGTTACCTGCAGGAAACACACCACGGAAAGAATTATCGTTTGTTGGTGATCTACGGAATAAACGCATGCGCATACATGCATGCATGCGTCCGACCAGGTCCGAACACCGTCCAACAATACCTGCGCTGCTGATGATCTTCATCCTACAAGTATTAATGTAATAAGGTGCTGGACCTTTTTGTCTGAATCGCCAGTAATATGACCCATGTCAACAGGACGGCACAGCCGGGCATATAAACATAATACATGCAATAATTCTATGAAACCGTAGCCAGCAGCAGGCGCGTCTTCCTATAGGATAGCATGAAATATATGTATCACACAATGAAACATTAGCCAGAAAGCGTAACTTCCTATGTACATGAACCTCGCTCCACAAGCGGTCGAACCCGTTGCCTGTTGGAAGATGAAACGGTGTACGCGACCCCAGCAGCATGAGAGCTCCGAAGCAATTAGCTTCACTGCAGCTGCTGTAGGATATTATATACTTTGCGGTGAAGCTAATCATATGAACTGACAATTTGTCTTATACTTTGCATAAATTCACGGCTGGGAGCATCAATAGCATGCGCATACATATGTATATATACAAAATATACAAACAAGTAATAAGCCTGGTACGCATGTAATATTAACACCTCGTCGCGCGGACCCGTGCTTGCTGGTGCCTGCAACCGTCCTTGCCGTTCCGTTACGTTGTCGCTCATCATCGGTCATCATCGGGACAGGAGCCGAGGGAGGATCCCCAACAGTGAATATTTCCCCAGCCCACCCGTTCTTGCCTCCTCCCGCTTCAGCCAACCTTCTTGCTCTTGATTGCTGAAAGCAGCTCGCAAGTCTCGCTAAGGAGCGGCAGCAGTATAATAATATCAACAATAATAATAACAATAGTATTAATATTATTAATGTGATAATAATACTATAATATTATTACGGATAATAAAATTATTATAGCTACTGCAGGCGGCCGCAGCGCTGCACGACTTCCACGCAGCCAAGTGAGCCAGGGGCAGCAGATGTAGAGATAGAAGCTTTGGTAACGAAGGCAGCCATGCACGTTCAGCCCTTCTTAAAGGGGTAGCTATCTTGGGCATATATACATATATACATATATGTCGTTACAGGATGGTACATATATACATGCAGCCAACTGAGACCTCACAGTAGGAAGGGTGGATGACAATGATTATATGGCGCGGCTGCCTAGCACGTCTTTCGCTTCTGCAAATGCAACTACCCGTGCTGCTACCCCTACAAGTAGCACTGCTGTGCTTCATCTTATTATCACCGCCGTCAGTGGCCGCGCAAGGTGAATAATATATGCCTGCACTATGTATGTCCTTGCTTCGACTGTTCAGGCGGCCAGCAGGCAAGGGCTTCACTTACATACATACAGCTGCGGCCTTATCATACGGCTATCTAGCAAGTTAGCTAACCACTGCTGCAGCTACACATCGTACCAATCAATGCGCGAAGGGATAACAATTGTATGATGCCGTAACCCCATACATATGTCTGCCAGCTGGTCCCTGCCTGCCTGCTGTAATCCAAATGCACACCTGCCATCTGCCACCTTCCTCATCAATCTTGCTGTTTGGTTCAAATGCCATGCGACCAACATTTCTGTTCTAGAACTGCGGTGTACTGCATGTTACCTGGCTACCTACATACATGTGTGTGTACACACACGCACATCAGCATGCTTATTAACACGCTGTGTGCCGTGCTTCTTTCCTGAGCCATGATCCCCGTTACTATCACCTGGGTGATGATGAGCTGCCGTATTTAATCCAACCATGCCCGCCCATCGTGTCCTCCATCCCCTCGCCCCAGGACCACTGCCGTCATCGCCACCACCCCCTCCCCCCCCACCCTTCACCAACATCGCCATCGGGAAGACCGTATACGCATCATCCCAGTTTTCCAGCCAATGGGGATCCTCTAGAG